TTCCAAGAACACCTTTGGACTTTTTTATGGGGCTATTTGAAGCAAAAGGTGTACGAAACTGAACCTGCTTCAATATTGGATATACGGCAGAGAATAATAAATATTTGTAGATATTGACGTTACTGTGTTCGAAAATGTTCGGCGTGAAATATGTCAAAAAGTTCAAGGCAACCATTTCGAGCATCTTCTGAACTGACCTCAAGCTTATTACCTCATATTATGTAGTTAAATGTCAATGTATTCAGGTAATTATTGAAAGTTCCGCCATTTTGTAGTAGTTGAAGATATTGACATTATATTCTAGGGCTGTTAAGTATTTGTCACAAGCTTCAAGAAGATGTCACAAAACCTCCCTTTCCCATTATTTTTTTTCCCCAGATGACGCCCAGTCCCCATCTTGAAAGTTTCACCTGTCAATTTTACTACAAAATAAAGTGCTCATGCATCAATTTCATTATCCCAAATTTCAATTTTTTGAGTTGGCCAGTTGAAAAAATAAAAGGGGGGAGGATATTAAAGAAAAGTACTGTATAGCTTATTATATGATAAAATAAAATGGTATTCAAATACAAATCATTTCCTAAAACTACTGCTCTCAATAATTATGTGATTTGAATCAAATTTTTTGTACAAATATTCTTGCACCAATTAATAACGTTTCTACACCAAAAACTACGGAAGCGCAGAAGGGCCACATATTTTTATTATTTGTTTCTTGGAAATTACGACTTTCAATCTCGAAATTTCGACTTTCATCTCGAAATTTCGACTTTAATCTCGAAATTTCGACTTTAAACCCGAAATTTCGACTTTAANTATCCCAAATTTCAATTTTTTGAGTTGGCCAGTTGAAAAAATAAAAGGGGGGAGGATATTAAAGAAAAGTACTGTATAGCTTATTATATGATAAAATAAAATGGTATTCAAATACAAATCATTTCCTAAAACTACTGCTCTCAATAATTATGTGATTTGAATCAAATTTTTTGTACAAATATTCTTGCACCAATTAATAACGTTTCTACACCAAAAACAGTGTTTTTATATAAGTTTGTGCACAATTCTCGAAATTTCTTCAATTCACATTGTTTATTGTATCATTTGATTCCAAAATACTAAATGGATTTTGTCCTTCCCTCACATATTGTTAAGTTTTGAAATACTCTGTATTAGATATTATTATGTTGTTATGTGAAATTTATATCAAGTTTGGGTTTTTGTTATTTTACATGGAGATAAATTGTTGATAACAAGTTAAGTGTCAAGCGAAAATAAAAATTCCTTGAAAAAAGTTAATAATATCATTTTTTCCCAATTTCTCCATCTGAAAAAAAAGCTAAACATTGTGCTGGCCTTTCGACCAGATAACTGACTACGTATTCACAGGTAAAACTAAACATTATGATTGTGTGCATTTTTTCTTCTATTGAGAGTGTCATGCTTCCAAATATGCCTTTCATCATCTATAAACATTGGCAAAGTCGTTTAATTCAATCAGTTGAAATTTCAGGCAGCAGAATTCCAGTTATGTTATTCGGGAAAATCATCTACTTTTCTCAATTTGTCCCAATCTCTCTTCCAGCAACCGTTTGTCTAACTTGTGTTTACACAAGTACTGCCCATTCAGAAATAAAACTGGAATTTCATACCGGTATAATCTCAAATATCGAACGTTTTCCTTCTTCGAAATATCCACAGTGCTGAAGTCAACTCTATTCAGATAAGGGTACAATTCGTTCTTGAGTTCGTCACACAACGGGCAGGGCTCCCTGGTATAAAGAGTAAGACTAGGCAGTTGGTTAGGCGGTAGCTGATCTTCCCTAATGAAAAATAATCAAGGATGTCAAATGAAAACCATGAAATGAAACTATTCTGAATATTTAAAAAAATGAATACAACATAGAAACACACTGTCGATAAATTCAATTTAATAAATCTGTCAGCTTTCAACGATCAGGAAATTAATCATATAAATTTTAACTATGAAAACATACCAATGTCACCTATGTCGAATAATATTCAAAATTTCAAGCAAAGAATTCCAACAAATTGGAAACTAATATAGAAAAATATTGATTATTGAACTTAAAAGTGTCAAAGAAAGTGAAATGAGATGTGAAGGTGGCGTAGTGCATCAAGAGTCCTTACCATGTGGTCGTACGGTCAATAAGAAGCATTATCTTGAAGTTATGCGCCACTTCTTTTCTTTTCATGATCCACACAGCTTTGTTAAGAGTTTAATGTAATGGGCTTTCCCAATAATGTGTTGTGTTGGATAGAATCGTACATGGAAAACCGTAGTTTGGTGGTTAAATGTAATGGAATTACATCAGTTCTTAACTGTGTACATGAAATTGAATTTATATTTTCTGAATTGTTTATTATATAATTCCAATTTAATTCTACTGAAATGTAGCAGAAACTCACCTTATGTGGAAACACTAGTCACTGCTTGCCACCTTTTTGAACCTAAATGCCACATGATGCACGTTATCAGAAAAACGAAACTCTCAAGATAAGGTCAAAATGCCAAGTTTGATTCCTAACAGAGCTTCTGATCAACAGCGGTTGTTGAATGGATTATAAAATAAACGTATCTAGAGAGACAATATCAAGTTAAAGGTTCAAGTGACTGAGAGGCATTATACTGTTGTGAATGATTCCCTGAAAAAAATTTCGAAGGCCGCCGCTGGTCTTCGGCAATCGATTGTGACTCAACCAAGGTCGCGCTCAACTCGACTTGCGTTTCTTCGAGAGACTTCTCTGTCAGCTTCCATTACAATATATAAACACTACCAACAGGCAGATGGGGCAAGTCCAGTTAAAAGTACGGTACAAATTCATTTAATAAGGCGATAGACATCTGAGTATCAGTCTGAAGTTTCATTTGAAGTGTTTTTTGTGATGTATTGTCAGTGTGGCAGTGAAATAAAGTTGAGTTTCATACTATAGTGTAGTTCATTAATTATTGTCAAACCCACAGGAAAAACGTAACAAAACTTGTTTTTTTTTGTGTCGTATCAGTGATCCAAATAAGATTTTTCTGATCCTTTGCTCAACCAATCCGTCATTGGACATTATACTTCACCTTCAAAGAAAACTACTTTATAAAATTTTTCTTCACTGTATAATAATCAAACAGCTATTTCTTTGTGAAAAACAGTTTAATCTTATATACACCAAAATAATAATTCTTAATGAGTAGAAGATTCTCAAATATTAACAAAATTATTTATAAATATAAAATTAACAGATAAAAAATTTGGATGACAAATATAAACCCAAATTGAACTGGACTTATTTTTTATCGTTACATATAACGTAAAATGATACTTCAACATCCAACTGAATTAAATTTGGAATTAAGTGAAAATTAAATTACGAATTATTGAATTAAACTGGTGAATGCTGAAAAAACTGATCAGCATCCCTCTTTTTCTGAGTTTGATTATAATGGAGATATCCAATTCCATAGAAATTTTGAAGAAAAAAGAAAGGAAAGTTCTTGATGATTCTATCCTTCAATCCAGAGAAACCGAAGAAAAATTAAATCACCAAAACCAAATCTTACTATTTCTACTACTTATTTATGAATTCGTCTTATTTTCACAAATAAATATTATAAGGCCTTGTTTTTCATTGCCCTGGATTCCTTTATTAATTTTTAATGATTTAATTTCACTCCCAAATGTATGATGTATGAAAATTTAATTTAGTATCGTTGAAGAAAAGTGTCCAGTTACAGTTTTCGGAAAATAGGAAAACCTAAACGTTGGTGATTTCAAAATAAATTATTTACGAAACCAAAAAATCTGATGATGAACACTACGATCCGAAAACTAGCATCCATGTTCATGAGCATGGATTGTATGTGTCACATTGGAGTGTACTCATCTGTGATATTTATACTAATCAGTGCAGTATTTTCAATGAAAAACAGGTAAAGTTTATTGATGTTTCTTCCTAGTATACTCTGTGTCCGAGGTAAAGAAGACCACCACGGGAAAATCGGACACCGTGAGACGTACAAAGTCATTATGAGTTTTTTTGCCGACAATTTCAATGATGTATCACATATATTCGGAATTTCTTAGATTTCAAAACAACACAACAAGGTTCAATTTTTGAATGCTGGCCTGTTCGTATATTGGGCACACACTGTATATTGTTGTGATAGATACTCCTGTCAAAAATTCCTGTGAACCAATTGACAGAATTGACATTAGACTGTGTTATTTAGTCCAGATGGCGGTAGCTTGTTGATTATTGAATTACCCCCTTGAAAAACCGTTATTGTGAGTGTGAGACCGATTCCTACTCTGAGATGATGGGTTTTCACGGTATATTGCCTGACTTGTGTTAGAAATCGCACTTCAAAAAACCCTTGTTAATTTTTTGTTCGCATAACTCTTCTGGAAAGTTCAGAGGGTTGCCCTTCATAGGAGGATGACGACTAGTTTCCAACGTGATTTCCTCAAAAAATAAATTGAACAATACACACGAATATACCCCACTTTTTTTAAACACTTTCTTCTTTCTCGCTGAAAATTTATTTTGGTATACCTGATGACAAGGAAGGAATGGTTAGGAATGGTTATTATGGGTTAACAGGCTCTGTGCTGGCGTGGTTTCTTAGTTACCTTAGTGAAAGAAAACATAAAACAAAAATTGGTTCAAAAATATCTGATATGATAGATATCAACATTGGTGTTCCCCAGGGAAGTGTACTTGGCCCACTTTTATTTATTATATACCTAAATGATATTTATTATGTTCCTGGGCTACATGAACTTAATCTGTTTGCAGACCCTACTTATAAAGTAGTATAAACATCAGTTTATACTTCGGAAACAGAACTCAATGATGCTGTAGATACTCTCAAAGGTTCTATGAAGAACATCGAAAAATATTTAAAGTTCAACATCAGCAATTGGCAATTCAAGCTGCATGTACCCACCCTAATTATTGAATGTCAAATGATCAATAAAACATCACCCCTATTGAATTATTTTTGAAATAAACAGCCCTTTATTTTACTCCTTTGTCACCAAGCACAATAAAAAAAAATTATAAAATATTTACAAGTACAGAAAAGCTGCAGAATTAGTTGAATTGACATTTACATCATGATGAATATAGTTGTACTGTTTGAAACTCTTTTCTTTTCAATAAACCTAACCAAAAGCATGACCTAAAATCAGATTTATCGGTTTGAAGTAGTGAGATTGAAGAAACGAACTATTACCACAAAAAGTTGCGGCAATGGATCGTATTTCAGAAATACGGAAGACAAATGATCAATTAAAATGCAACAACAGTAACAATACCTTCCTTACAACCATAAACTCACAATCTCTCAATCATGATCGAAGAAGCACCTCCTCCGCCGTTACAAATGGACGCCACTCCCTTCTCTCCGCTCTTCAGAGCATGTACCAAATGAACAACGATTCTTGCTCCAGACATACCGATGGGGTGACCGAGACTTACAGCCCCACCGTGAATATTCACCTTCGCAGGATCCAATCCTAGAATCTGTTGGTTGGCAACGACAACAACGCTGAAGGCTTCATTGATTTCCCACATGGCAACGTCTTCTTTTTTCACTCCAGTTTTCTCCAATAACTTCGGAATGGCTACTGCAGGAGCGATAGGAAAATCTATGGGATCGCAAGCGCAGTCTTGATAACCTACGACTCTAGCTAATGGTTTTACGTTCAGGCGCTTTGCGGTTTCTGGAGTGGTCATGATGAGGGCAGCTGCTCCGTCGTTGAGAGTTGAAGCGTTTCCTGCTGTGACGGTGCCATTTTCTTTCTGAAAAACGGTAACTAGATAATAGTATATTGTACAAGTGGGAAAAACGACATATTTCTCATGAGCGCAGAAGTTTGTTGTCATTTCCTCATACATTGTACACTGTACTTTACATTGTACATTAACTCATTTTTATATTTTATTTAAAATAGTAATGAACAGTTATATTTGAACAATTTTGTGAAGTAATTGATGTGGAAACGTACTGAGCTTCCACAGCATTGTTGTGTTCAGGTTCTAATGGCGCTCCTCAGCATCTAGAACTGAGACCATAATGTTGATAATTTCAATCTTCTTCATAACTCTTCAAAATAAACTAACAAGGTATTTTCGGAACAAAAATTTACCTTGGCTTACATTTTTCAGTCCATAAAATTTCTGTAAGCGATTTCATATTTTTCTCTTGATGTGTTTGGTAACAAATTACATTTATTACTTTCTGAACAATTTCTGGAGGTGTATTTTCCAACTCTTAATCTTCCTATTCCATCATATTGAATATTTAATAAATCTGAACTGTTTATACTCTGACAATCAACAATAAAACTATTTTCGTTAGGTAAGTTGACAGCAATAATTATGCAGTGCTTCGGTTTTGTTGTTATGGAAACGCCGACAATGGGCTACTTGGATATTGCACCATTAAATTTCTAGGTGTAACTATGAGTGATACACTTGATTGGGAATCTCACATAAGTGAAACAATAAAAAAATTGAACAGTAAGCTTTACCAGATCAGATGTCTTCAGAGAGTAATTAATATAAATGTTCTGAGGAATTATTATTTTGCGGAAATACAATCCCGACTATCATATGGAATTTTGTTATGGAGTATGTCTTCTTCAGCACAAAAACTATTTCTAGTACAAAAAAAATGCATATATATATTGGAAGTCTCCTGTTGTATAAATAAAAACAGAAACAAAATTTCCTGTCACAATGACATCCACAATTACGCAACAAGATTCAGTCATCATCTTTAAACACTCCAAAATCAATTGAATATATGCCTGTATGGCCCTATTTCCAATGGAATTAGGGTTTACAACCATCTATTGACAAAAATCGATCAGGAGGTATCTTACTTCAGATTCAGAAAAACGCTGAAAACATACTTACTGGATAACTCGTATTAAACAATGGACGAGTTCTTATCTTCGTAGTGAACTCTCTTTGCTCCTTATTGCATTTTAAAGTACATGTATTGTTTGCCTAATCTATGTTCAAATTTCTTTGAAACCGATAAAGATTATTATTATTATTATTAATCGTCGGCGTAGCGTTGTCAACATGGAGAACAATTTTGTTCCCTTCAAAATAGTTTCCCTCAGATATAATACACGAGTCTCTTCAATCTTGGGAACGGAAAAAAGTCGCAGGGGGCCAAATCTGGTGAATATGGTGGTTGAGGCATGATTACGGTGTTGTTTTTTTCTAAAAAATCACGAAAAAGAAATGACGAGTGAGCAGATGCATTATCGTGATACAAAAGTCATGAATTGTTTTTCCTTTCAACAAATCTGGATCGCCGTCGACGTCATTCAACAAATCTGGATCGCCGTTGACGTCGTTCCATAATTCTTTGGTCAAAATTCAGCAATTTCAGAACAAACATGCCCCCACACGATTCATGCCCAAAATTTCTGAAAAAATTGCTTCTCATGGGCCAATTCTTAACTAAGATCCATGAAGACAAAAATGGAGATTCTCATTAACCCGGATTATGAAAAATTACCTGAAAAACTGTGGCAAGTTTCCCAAACTTGTCGAAATTCACTCGTTTATATTCTTCATCTGCAGACAGAACAAAATCCGGCTGTCCCCTCTTTTGTGGCACACTCACAGAAACCAGTTCGGCATCAAAAACGTTGTTTTTGTATGCCTCAGCACTCCGTTTGTAGCTGCTGATAGCAAAGTCGTCTTGTTGTTGTCTAGTGATGCCAAGTTTTTTCGCCGTATTCTCTGCGCAGTTACCCATGTGGAATTTATTGTAAACATCTATCAGGCCATCGCCGACAACTCCATCTACTAAGTTCACTCCTCCGTAAGGAGTCTGGCCTCTTTTCAAATAATAAGGTACATTCGACATGGATTCCATACCACCTGGTAAAATAGGACAAAGATTATAAAATTTATTCATTTACAAGCAACCCTTAGTTATTTCCAAACATAAAAAATTATGATTAAAACTCTATTGGGAATGAAAAATAAAAATATTATTTCATTCATATCCCTTTCACAAGTTTTTCTAATATAAATCACTGTACTATACTCTCTAAAAAACATTTCTTATAGAGTGCATACGTAGTCTCCCCACCTCATCTTAACTTATGAACGGAACAAGATAATTTTGTTGGACAAAATTTTCGTAAAAAGGCTTCATTTTTACTAATTTTTGATATCATCGCCAAAAGGGTGCTAACAACTTGTTTTTTTTTCAATGGGAAGGGTGTCTTGTGCTATCATATTCAATAAGAAATTTCACTCTCGATCCACCACTGTTTTATGGTATACGGTATCACAGATATGAAATTATATATTTATTCCCAAAGTCAAGAAACCTGTTATACTTGGTAACTGGGGAGGTTACAGTAACAAGTAAACTTACGTACCAGCAAGTACCACTTCTTGGTCGCCTAGCTGCAAACTTTGGGCTCCAAACATAACGGCCTTCATCCCTGACGCGCAGACTTTATTGATTGTGGTACAAATGGTAGACTTTGGAAGCCCGGCGAACAACGCCGCTTGTCTCGCAGGGGCCTGCCCCACCCCTCCCTGACAAACGTTTCCCATGAAAACTTCCTTGACTTCATCTTTTGGTATGCCAGCTCTTTCGATCGCTGCTTCGATAGCAACAGCTCCCAGTTTTGTTGCTGACAAAGGTGCAAGTGGTCCCAGAAAAGTGCCCATTGGGGTTCGGGTGGCCGAGATGATAACGACTTCATTTTTTGAGGATGAGCTGAGAAACCGACTACCCACTTGGAGAACCTACAAAAATGAAATATTTTCAGAAAAATGTGAACGTATGACGTAGGGTAGTGTTTATTTTCGAGTGAAATTTTCGGAATTCAAGGTTACCTTCAAAGGTCTTATACAATAAATCATAGCTGTTAATTTATCACAATCAACTAGAGCAGAGTTGTAACTAAACTAAGACTTTTTCAAGAATTATGAATGTAAATAAAGAATAATCGTTCGTGGGGTCCTCAACTCAACGTTATCACAGAACTTTGACCTTTCAATGTATTCAGTGTGGTAAGCAAACAAGATAATTCATATTGTTGATTTTATTCAGGCATAACATTCACAAACACAAAAGTACATATATTCTTAATAAATTCATGAATATTTATTAAATTTTGATTTAATTTTCATGGACAATATTAGAGAGGTTAGGAGGGAAATTTAAATTCAACTTCATTTTTGAAGGGCATAATAAATGAGATTGAAACCCCTCTATTATGAGATTTTTTTCTCGGAAATTTCTCACTCTCCAGTTTCAATCGAAAATACTTTTCCCTCATCAGAACAAAAAAGGCTGTCTCTCGACGCGCGTTTCTCTAACCAAGTTGTATCATCAGGAGTACATTACGAGTAAAAGTACAAAAAAATCAACGTGTAAGTATGTCGCAAATATAACTGCACTCATGTAAATTTTCTCCCGAGCAGAAGGCGACTTAATTAAACATTTCAAGAGTTTTTAATAATAAAAAAGTTTGAAAAAAATGGTGGCAACATTGTTTGGAGCACGACCGCTGCGCCCCCACCGACGAAGCCCTGTCAACTTTGATGAAGGGCGGATGGGCAAATGCGCCCGAGTGGGATACAACGTCCAATAAATCTAGAGAAACCTTACTTTTCCTTTGTAACACAACCTTACAAAACTCCATGGTTCAAGGATTTGGCTACTTGTTCTCGTAGAGAAATCGTCAGTATGTGCAGAATTAAGAGCAATCATCTCCTCAATAAAGCCCGTCTCCAGAAACTCAAGATAGTTGATGACGACCGCTGCGAATGTGGGGAAATACAGATCCTCCTACATATATTCTCTTCCTGTCCTAACAATTCTCACAATATACAAATGCTTCATGCCTCTCTCAGCATACCTCCTTCAACAATTCAGACATTTACCTTCCACGATATATTTTTCGAACATTCTAACATATGAACCATATCCAAATTCCTGATTGCATCCTGATTTCATCCTGTAGTGATGAAGACAGACCTAATACTTGTGCGCATGCAGTCCTTTGCCAATCATGACCTGTTCGTAGTGTCCATCACCTCACATTAGTGCTTACACTCTAGTGCAGTCAGACATTGCTTGTTGATTGACTACAAATTACAGTTGAACATTGTTTTAGTGCAAACCCAGGTGGGGTTTGGGTCCGACTCAGATCAACTTTAGTGTGGACTCCACCTGTAGTAGCAACATAATTCTGGAACTCTTGGCTGGATAGCCCTGGCAGCTGAAGCCATCAATGGAAAAAGAAGAAGAAGAGATTTCATTGAGTTAGTTTTTAGGTTATTTTGTCATTTTTGACATTTATGATGTTTATTTTGGATGAATTATTACTAAAGAGTAGATTACTCATCTCATCATAGTTTTATTGACTGTACTTTTGATGGTGATCATACAAAAGTGTTACAATATTTTGAATAATTTTCGTAAACACCAATATGGGCAACTCAAAAGGCGGAATGGGAGGTACAAACCAATCTTTGAGAAATGATATCGCTGAATTTGAATTCCATGGTTCCTTTGAAGTAGAAACATTAAATGGATTATATCTTAATGATATATACATTCCAGAAGAACTCATTTTGAATATACTCAGTTATGTACCTGCGAAAGATATGTTAGCTCTAACATTGGTTTGTAAGAAATGGTGCAATATTATCAAATCGGAAAGTCTTTGGATGGACATATACAATAGGACACATTCCAGAAAAGCAAAGAATATACCGTGGTATGTATATTATTGCTACTTTACTACAGACAATTTCTCCAACTTGATAAAGAATGGAAATGGCCAGGAAGGGTTCAAGCATTGGAAGATTATAAAAAATTACGGTGATGAATTCAAAATAGAAAACCCACCTATGGGATGTGATCCTTTGCCATCTGATGTTCCAGAGTTTTACGGACAAACAGGATGCTTTGCTACTTCTTTTCATGAATGTTTTAAAATCCAGGTGTGTATATCTGAGTTACAATTGCTGATGCTGCTTGATATTGCAGTAATTTTGTTCTTATATATCTTCAGCAAAAGAGTAATTAATTTGCAAAAATTATGATACATTTGCTTCTTACCGTCATCTGGGAATATAACTTTGCACAATCTGAAAAATGAACAAAGCTAAGTCAGTAGAGAACCTGCTGAAGTGAAATGAAAGGCAAACTGCGAAGTTGATCCCAAAAATAACTGCGTAATATGAACCACTAAAGATCCCAATCAGTCAGGAACGTAAATCTGCTGAAAACTCTTTTCCTCACCATAACAAAAATGCTGTATCCAGACATGTTTTTGGTTAACCAAGTTAGCATCATAGGGAGATGAGTAAAATAGATTCATTTCAGGCCAAATATTCCAAATTCTACTTAATGAGTCAGTAACTTGTTGTATTTATAAGTTGAATGTTCATTGGAGTGAATGAAAATTATATACTTGATCTTTTCTTGGGTTAGATAAGTTTAGTCGGTAAATATTCAGATTGATGCCGGCAGAAGATTTTGAAAAACAAAATTGTTTGCACTCTCATGAAATTATAAGCAGGACACAATTCTGGAAAAAACAAGTAGCTCTTCCCTCATTCCAAAATTATGGCTCCTCAAAGATCAAAATAAAGTGATATTCCACCTACTTTTTTGCACCAAAACGATTGGGATACTCATGATTTTATTCACCAGGTCACCTTTATACATTATTCCACCTTGCTTCACTTTTTTTTGCACAAATTCATCTTTTTCTATGGAAAAAATATATTTTTTGTCAGACCTATTTTCTGGTGGCAGTTCATTGTGCAATTGACAAATTTGAGGTTATAAATTTACCTTGGTATGTCTGCTTTGCTTGAATTTTAAAATCGATTGGGATCGGAAGGTTACCATCACCTCACTGTAAACCACACATTTCAAATGAAACCATTTTCTACAATCACTTTTACATTCTGTAGGGATATGGTTTGATTCCACAATAGAATCACAACTACCACACACAAAAATATTTGATGTACTTTTACAGTCCTGAGAACAAACAGAAATTTCCTAATTTTTCTTTCCTTCATTCTCCTATAGCTGTACTTTTTTTGACACACGTCAGAAGAGTGTATTGTCCAGATGTCACATTTGCTAGTCTATATGATTACACATACAGGGTGTTTTATGAGAATTCACTTTAGGTTCATATTTCTTTTTCATCCTCTTGGATATCTATGAAATATCAAATATAGGACAGTTGTGGAAAGATCAAACAAGATTATAATTATAACAATTTCAATAGTATTCAGTTAAAACTATTGGTCTATGCTGCTGTACAGAATACGAGTATTGAATGAAGAAACAAGGGTCGCTTAAGACAAATAAATAATTATCCCTAATTAAACTGTTAGTTTCCAAAATTAATAGGGTGGCTGCCATTGAAATACTGAGAACTATGTTAAAAGCCTTGCATGAATACCTGGGAACTGCTTTGCACATATATCGGACTGCCCTGTTTTAGAGCACGAAAATCATTTGAAATAAATCTCTAGGAGGAAATTCCCCAGAAGACAATTCCATATCTGAAATGGGGATCTATGAGAGCGAAATAAGCTGTTCTCGAACAGGAGTAGCCTAATTCTGAAGACATGACTCTTAGTGCATAGCATCATGAGGCAAACTTCTCACTTAAGTTTATGGTGTGATGCTTAAACTTTAATTTATCATCAATATTCACCCTAGAAATTTATAATTATGTATCCTTTCTATGATTTCGCTGCCAAGCCAAATTTCAGGAAAGTTGCAATGGAAAGTAAAAATGCTGGATTTATTAATATTAAAAGATAATTCATTGTTGCACTATTCTTTGAATTTGTTGATGTCTTTGGAGATGGTCTCATGAGGAGTAGGAATGCCCTTTTTGTGTCATAGTAAGGTAGTGTCTTTAGCAAAGAGGGTGATCGTGGCCGTTATATCTATAAAATCTAAATCATTTATGTAGATGAGATCCTTGGGCCAATGATCGATCCTTGAGGTACACCACATTTGATGGTCTGATAAGAAGAACACCTGGTTGACTGTGAAAGATAATAATGGAGAAAATTGATATGCTTGCTATGGAAGTTATCATCTGTTGTTTTCATAATGATTGAAATGTTGATATCATCAGCTGAACAAGTCGCATAAGTTTTAGGTGATTTATTCGTTCAAATTGGATCATTTATAGGCAATTTGTATATTTACAATGACTTGAAATGTTGCTATTATCATCGTATTTCCTCATTGCAGGAAATCAGTCTAATTAAAAAACGTTTACTGATGTATATTATGGACAAGTTTATGCCACACCTATATGTAAGCGAATGGATGGCTGGTAGATTTGATTGCGGCTGTACGTATACTTTGGGTGTACAAGGACACAGCGAAAAATGCTATGATATTTTGAATCCTGATGAATCAATGGAACTTCTGAGTGAAAGTGAAAACTCAAGAATCGATAATTGTTTTAAATCCAATCGTACAGAAACAATAGCACAATGGCAAGGAAGAGAATGGCAGAAGGTGAGTTGTCTCTTTCTTTTAAAGAGTAGAAAAAATACAAAATGAATAGAGGCGAGACAAGAAAGTTCATGAAAATTATCAATAAGATTCTCAGAAGGTAGGAAATTCAGAATGATGTAATGTATCTACAACATACATCAGCTCTTACCAAGCTTTACATATCGCAACCCACTAAATAAGTAAAAAATTTAAGTGAGACCTCCAACCCGATGTTTGCAATGTGATAGTTCAAATAGGCTGGCTGAAAAAAGGAACATATTGATTTCAAATTTAATAAGCTACCTACAAGTTCTTGCAAAACGTCAGGGAATGCAGTGACTCTCAGAAATATTGAATCTTCTTCGTAAAAAAACATGAAAATTATTCATTACTATTCAGCAATCGTTGTTGATGCTTATATAGATTAATTATTCATCAAAGGCCTACATGTCTCAAACAACACCAGCAAAAGTAGTCTCATCAAAACCAACGGAAGGTATTAATGACATAAGTGGTAAAGTCATAAAAAGCATTGCTAGGTATATCGCAGAGCCCTCACAAAGGAGCAAGTTATCTTGTAAATTATTGTCTGATTTGCATACCAAGCCATATCGCTGAAATATCCGAATCAGCATATTCTGAACGGCTAGCTAAGTATATTTAATGGTTTCATCGGCTATCAGACATTCAGTTAGGGTTCAGAAACACCTAATCCATCATCAGTGCCATAGGAGATGAATTGAACTATATAGAGGGTTAATAATGAAGGTTTCAATGACCTAAACCTTTGTTTTGAATTTCATATCTCACAAACAACTTAATGGCGCTATATACAATGTCACTCGGTATATATCTCTTTCATATATATTCAAAACCAAGGAGGATCTTGTATCGAAATAAATAATCATGTCATGGTGATATATGTTTTCCAATCTCATTAGATTTTTTTAATACCAAATTGATTTATTGATAATTTCAGGTTGAAATTCTGGTAGAAGGATATCCAACCATGATACAATATCTATATTTCGTACATGAGGGTCGTGATACTCAGTTCTGGAAGGGTCACTATGGTAGCAAGATGGCAGGTGGCGTACTCAGGTTCATTTTTGAAAGCATAGAACCTTTAGAAGATACGGGAGTAACCGCAGCAAGAAGGCTTTATGAACCACGGTAGTGAAGACATAGTCATTCTTATATTTTTGTATCAATACAGGAAATCTGTTGTATGAGCTGTACGAAGTGGTCTGAAAAGTTTCATACGTAGCAAGACATTTTTTTTCTCCACATAGTCTCCTTATAAATCTACACTCTTCTCCCAGCGATGCTCTCGTCTCTCACGAAGGTGATGGCCTTCTCATTTGATCCAAATCTATGACCTGAGTATAATTTTCATATTCGGCGACAAAGAAAGTCGCTGGCTCTAGAGTGGTGAAGCAGTTCAAATTGTTTCTTGGTGAAACATAATTCTTTTCAGCAAATGTTGCCATTTTTCCACAATTTCTGCCTTCAGCTTGTCAAGTTATTATTCGTAGTATGCTCCTGAAATGGTTTCTTCTGTTTGAAGATAACAGTCGCTATCACTTACAGTCCACTTTCATTACCAAGTGCTGCCATCTTAACGTTAAGTTCAGAAGCTTTTCATACGATTTTCGTATTATTCAGTGATAGCTGAAGTGATATGTTATTGTTGAATAAGAAATACACAAGTTTATCTACAATTTTTGGAAGCAGCAAACAACCAAATTGGTGCAGTTCTTTTTCAATGAGCGTTTTTCCTGAGAATAGTACAGCATACGTGTCACGAGAGGCAGCACTAGCAGTAGGGACAAACAATAAACTATTCATATGTAAAACAGTATTATTTGCGTAATATCAATTTATTATTTATAAATATAAATCTGATATAAAAAATTATTTTGTGCTAGTATAATGCCAACAAAGCATTGCTGTTTTGCGAATTGTACGTCGGATAATCAATATCCGGAAGAAAACGTGTGTTTTATACCATTTATAAAACATCATAATAATGAGGTTAGATGTAAGAAATGGATACATGCTTCGAGGAGAGTGGTTTTAACAGTGCAAAAAATAAATAAATATTAATATGTATGCTCTAAACATGAAATGAATAGTAAATTTTTCATAGTTGATTACCATTGATTAGAATGAGATATAACCTCAATCGTTTATTAAATTATATTCATTTATT